GTAGAGGTGGACTCTCAGGGTAGGGTGGGATATCCCCTCCATTTTGGCCTCAACTTGAGAGCTTTTTTTGAGCTTGGGAATTGATTTCATAGAAATCAAGTGGCACCATCGTGATTTTCGCGAACTTTTACATAAGAATCAACAGTCAAATCGCAAATTCCTCACACATGCAACATCTCCATTTGGCAACGTCTGAAGGCTGATACGGCGTTCTTCCTTAGCACATCAGTGTGCCATGTGGTTCGGACACCTGACCCGACACACAAATTCATTTTCAAGGCATGAATAATTCCGTGGCTCGGCGTGGCGCATAGCTCCCCGTAGCGGGGTAGGCATCGGGATCCGAATTCCGGCGTACCCAGATCCACCCTCTAATTGCTCCATGGCGTCACCATGGCAACACGTCCCCTGGTCCCTTCCAGATATCGTCCCGACTCCACTGCGGCGTGCCTCCGCATCTCGCTCTGTCCCCTCATCCCTTCCTACGAGACTGCCATATTTCCGCCCGAAAACGCCTGGGACCGGTGGCGCTGTCTGCTCATGGGTGATTCTACGACCATTTCCCCAATTTTGAAATATATACCTCACCACTTTAAAAGGCGCCCGAATGTTACAAATCTCAACGCTTGCAATAATAGCTTGGCCAGTGGTAATGATGTTATTTTTCATGTTCTGTTTTGTTGTATTACGTTTATCAAAATATCACACACGTGAATACATCTTCCACTCTCACGATTATTGACATACTTGAAAAGCAAAATATGGCAACGCAGCTAATGAGTATTTAATTGATGACCATAATCCCTGACCGCCTGGTCGCTCAATATGAATTTAGTACCACACCTATGGATTGTTCCCTCAGTAACGGACCTGGTTTGATCGCCATTATATATTTATGGTGGTATTTTGGGGCGAGAGTTAAACAGATTTCGTGATGCCTTTTTGTTAGCTTTAAAACCTTTGGTCAGAAGAAGACAGCACACAGATGAGACTGCGATCTAATAATATTTATCAATATTTTTGGCACTTATTTATTAGTGTTTGATTATGGTAATGTATATTTAAAGAGTAAAATATTCAATTTTATAAACCGTTGCTAGGTGCGCATTTTTTGACTGTAGCCATCAGTGTTTGGCGAACCTGGAATAAAATCAGGTAATTGTATTCCCGTCTTTTGGGGAGAAGGGATCGATCAATCAAAAATTGGACTCTCCACGATATGCTTTTTGAGATTTCTCCATTTAAACCTATGCTAAATAATCGATTCTTGTCGTAGTACCTGGCCCCTCCAAGAATCGATACATTTCCCTGGGTTTAAAAGGGGGAAAAACAATGTTGCCAATTCGCTGGATCCGCCAAAGGTGATAGTTGATGCAGAAAATGTTTCCACTTTCGTTGAATTTGACTTCGTATATAAATGTACTTTAATGGAGGAATGCTCTCTAACAGCACTTGTTGGTCTTATTTTCTTTTTTTAATTTTTTTTCTTCTCTTTCCAAATTCACGTACGAGAATAGGCTATCACTGATAAACTGCATGGTAAGCTTCAAGGGATTTGAGTTGGAAAAATATACCTCCGGCGCGGGCGGCAGTGTTTTTAGCCGAGGAACATTCCTCGGCACAGGGGAAGAAAATAAATAAATCAAAGCCAAATCCACCTTGAAAGCTCTGAAATTACCTTTGGAGAAGTTTATTTCAATCCTGATATCACACAAGCTGCCTCCGTTATCAGCTAAAGACCGATTGGAGGATCATGGTATGTTTGGCTACCATGTTGCCGATAGTTTCCTTCTTATCGGTCACTACGTTTTTGGGTTGACCGCATAAAAAGAAAATGACGAGGACCTACGATTGAATTTTTTATGATACATTTCAAGTGATGTAAATGGTTTTCAAATTGACCGACGCATTAAAGCATTAATGCCAGTACTGGTCAAAAAACACTAATACCTAGCTTAAAAGGGGGAAAAAATTCTTGGGCGAGTTCGATGGCAGGCAGCACGACGCACATGGACACCTTCTTTTTTCATAGTTTTGCCAGTGATTTCTTCAATTGAACTCGTGGTTTTTTAATGAACTCAATGCCCTCTCAGCCAACCCAACATATCTGCTGTTAAGGGGTGAAGAACCGTAGCTCAATTTTCACCGATTCGAGAAATGAGAAATCAGGGGAGAAATGCAGGCAAATCCATTGCCTCCATGCCATCATCTTGATGTCGTATCATGGATTCATGGCAATGGCCTGATATTTGACATCAATACCTATTTTTATATACATACAGATTCTTGAAAATGTTTGTTGAGAGTGCAAATAACTCGGTTTTTCCAAAATTAAGTTACCTTTCTTTGACTTAACTACAGATGTTTTCCCTTTGGTTCTCCAATGATCAGTCGGTTGTGTTGGTAACACTATGGCATGGATTGAATTTTGCAGAAAGGAACAAAGAGCATTCCAATGACGCTAACATTGTGCAGCTTTTTTTCTTGCAAATATAAACTGATCATATAGGTAAACAAGTTTTATCTTTATTCCCGATGGACTATAAACTCAAGACGGAAATTATCTCTGTAAATTCAATTTTTTGTACGATTTTATAACAAAAATGTATGTTGCACAATATCTTAACAACATTAGGATGCTCTTGGTTCCTTTTTGCAAAATGCAATCCACATAATAGTTGGTTGCAGCTTACAAATTAGCAAAAGACTGAAATAACATGAAGCTCCTCCGTCCATCGTTAACACTACCCTGGTAAAAATTGGCGATAGGAACTTCGTTTCAAAATACCATAGGAGTTCTTATAGCCGACTGAAGAAGGCGATAGACAATCATATAGCTGGCTGTAGAAAGTGGATAAAATCATACAGCCGGGCTACACGAAGCGATGAAAAATTATACAGCCAGGCTTTAGTTCCTATCGCCGGGCTTTACACTTTATCGCCATCGTCTATGAAAGGCTATAAGTAATTGTGTAGATATTTGTGTGCTTTGTAAATCCTTAAGTTTGTACGGAATCACCTTAATATTTACAGAACGTACATTATATTTTCCTGTACTACAAATTTTTTTTCATCAATTAAAATGAGAATAATCCATACAGAGAGTGCAAACATTTCAAAGTCATGAGTTGAAAAACGCTGACTCCACGAGATTAAATATTAGAGCCTAACACAAAGCAGAGCGGCGGCGCACTGGCGCCTACAAACCTAACAGGGATACTTCACGCATTGCGCAATGCGTGAAGTATCCCTGTTAGGTTTGTAGGCGCCAATGCGCGTTTCGAGCTGGCTGCCCGTCCGCCGCGCCGCAGCGTACCACGGCGCTTGAAGCAACTATTTCACACCAGAAGTATTGCACAGTATCATACATGCGAAATTGAAGGCGCTCCAACATATTAGGAATGTCAGGCATCCTTCAAAAGTACGAAGCTTTCCTCGCAAAATAAATCAAGATACTACGGCTCAAAAAGAGAGCGGTAGTCCAAAAACTCACTAAGTCCTAGCATCCGTACGTATGTTTAGCATACACGTTTAGCATACACGTTATCGCCAGGCTGTTGCTTCATCGCCATCGGCTATAAAAGGCTGTAAGAAATTGTGTTGCCGGCTATAGAAGCTATTGGAAATCTTACAGTCGGGTGTAGGTCTATGGTATTTTGGAACACAGATTCTACTGCCAATTTTCACCAGGGTACATTTGTTTATGAATTTCCCAAATATGAGATTATATTGGATTTTTGGAATAGAGATGCTTCACAGCACCTTAAATCGCCTTCTTTTGTCCGGCAGATTGAGATGCCCTCTATGCATGCGGTAACTTGTGCTATAAGAATCTGGTAATAATTAAGATTTTTTTTTTTAAGCTTTAATAATTAAGATGGCTATTCGTGCTTCACAAAGTCTGTTTCAAATTCATGTGACACCCTGAATCCTCGGTAATACAATTCCATATTCAACGAAATAAAGGCATTTTGAAATGTTCTAACGGTTCATGATCTATCACACAAATGTTGAAGTGCGCCGATCACTGTTGTCGTGAGTTTGTTTACCCGAGCAACTATTTTAACTCCCCGGTGATCAAATTGCATATCCGAAGGAATGAAGGAATTTTGAGAATCTGCGATGATTTGTGATCCATCAATCTCACAAGTCTTAGAAATCATTTGGAGGATATAAACTCGACCGATTTTATTTTAAAGTACATGAAAAAGGTAAAATTCAGTTTCATGTTAGGTTAGTATTTGGCAAGACAGCAGTACGTGCTATCCTCTGCGCGCTTTTGTGGTAGGGTGTTGGACACACAACAAACACTTTTTCAGGCTAGAAATCGGCAGATGAGGGTGCCAGGGCGGCATTCCTCTTGAAAGCACTGTTTTCATTGGCTCTCATGCACCTACGGCTGTCTTGAAAAAAACTATGTCATTTTTTGTGCACTTACTTACGCTAAAGAAGAACGCCGCATGAGCCTTCAGGTGTTGCCAAATTTCCTTTGATAAAACGCGAATTTCCTGGTAAACTTATAAATACTTCCCTCTCAATTTTTCAGATAATTTTGTTCGCAGTTTCACCTAAAGATTTTAAAAATTTAAAGGAAAAATATTCATAACGTTCCTCGAAAATAAACATTTTATCGAAGGAAATTTCGCAGCTCTCGAGTGTTCATACGGCGTTCTTCCTTAGCACGGCAGTACGGCTTTTACATACGTCTCGTTTTCATTAAATTAGGATGAATTTTGCTGCTTTAGCTGTCTCGGTAATTTCATCTGAAAGAGTTCAGACGAATTTTGAAGAAAACTCGATTTCGAAAATTTTGCACTTACGGCTCTCTTCGCTATCACGGCAGCGTAGTTTGGCAGAAAGCGCGTAACCGGTGGCATGGCGCTTCGGCTCGAGTTGAGAGCCGCCGCCGGCCGCTACCGGAACGTACGTAGCGCCACGCGGAACTGTACTTTGCGTGAACTGCGCCGACCGCCCGATAGTAGAGTCAGTCTTCGCGGCGGGTTCTGTCAGGAAGGGCGTTACGCGAGTTCAGAACCGGCGTCATCGAACGCGCATCGTGCTCTAGTGATAACTCAAATTCGATAAGTGATAAGCATCGGGCTTATCACCACTCCGTTGTGCCATCGTAATATTTAAGTTCGATCGTATCGGGGTTTAAAAAGTGTCTCCGTTTTTTCGCCAACCTTTGAAAATGTTCCGATGTCTCGTTATCAGTGCTTTGGAGAATTTGTGAAGTGAAAGTGTACTGCGGAGTGTTGGAAGGTGATTATTTGGATTTCATTTTTCAAAGAGGGAACTAATGTTTCTGGCACATCCCGCAAAAAAGCATCGAAATAGGTAGAAAAATTCATGGCACATAAGTTGTTGCTGAAATGAGTCAGAAATTGTAGTTCCTAATTGAAAAATTTTGTCCGTCTAGAAAAATTTCCAGTTTTTTAAATTCACGTCGCTTGTTTTTTAGGATGAAGTATTTCCTGAAAATAGGGAAAATTGCAACCAGAAGTTTTGTTGACTGTATTCAAGGTAGATATTATTTTTTTTGGGTCAGAAATTCTGTTCCCGTAACAAATGTGTCCATCTGCGTTAGCTCACGTTTTATTTTTTTACTTGATCATGAGAAAAGCTATCATTTATGCTACGTGCATTTGTGTTAATGAATGGATGACTTTAATCATAACCATCCTAAGAAAATTATAAATGGCTCTAATTTCTTCTCATATTTTGTTTTTTTTACCTGAAAACCACTCAAAATTGTGCTTTGAAATTGTGTGAGAATATTCATAATAATCTAACGAAAATCGACTGAAATTTTCACGGCATCGTGTGTTTCATTTTAACTCTTGTTTAAAACATGAAACGTAAGAGTGAATTATGCCACGTGAAATGCAAACCGCTTGATTATGATTAAAGCCGTCCATATTAATAACGAGGCCCTTAAAATTTAGCAATCCCTTTTTTGTCAATCAATGACAACTACTAAAAACTTGTTCAAAAATAATTGGTGCCATAAATGTTGATTCGGTAGACAGAGAAAAAACATTTTTTTCCTTTCCGTGTCCTTTCAATTTTTCCCCCGGAATGAAAATTTGATCTCCAGTTTAATGAAAAACTGCGGCGTGCAAAGTACCAATATGAATTAGAAAATCTTACAATATTAAGAATGTGGTTGAATTCTGTTACATCTGCACGAGCAACTTTTGACGATCAAATCAAATGAAGATTACTATGCATGTCGAACATCCAAATTACTTTCAGAGCAGTGAGAATAAAAATTCCGCGATACCTTAAAATCGTCTCACGTCCGACACTTTTGTAACGTATCGACGGTAAAATCATGATAACGCGAACCTCGACACAGTAAGACAAAATATCCTCCCTCACTTTAATTTTTTCAGAGATAAATACTCGAAAGAGTTCCTCGAAACTTTCAGGAAGTGTTTTTGAGAAGACAAATAAGAGGTGATTTTGCAATCACGGCAATTCGACTTTATTCGGAAAAGAAAACTCTAACCGGAAATTTACAGCGTAGTAAATCGAATTACGTTGTTTCGTAAACAAATCGATACGATCTCTATTTCACAAGAGGCTGAAAGGAAAGACCGGGAACAGTGGCGTGGCGTGAGATGCGATGTATCGATTGTAATGCCATTTAAACCTGTGGTAAATAATCGATCATCAAGGTGTTCGCTGCGAACACCCTGTATATCGATCATTTTCCATAGGTTTAAATGGTATTACAATCGATGTATCGCAATTCACGCCACGCCACTGACCGAAAACCTTCAATCTTATTCGCGAAACATGGACCGGGGGGAAAGGAACGTCATCAAAAAATGCAAATGCTTGAGATGTAGCCGAAAAGGGGAATTGAGAAGGACTATCTCAACACGTCCGACTTCAATTTCCTGCCGAAATTTCCTCGGTACATCGATCACATTATTGATGAAGTCTTCGCGCCCCTCCGCTTAGAATCCCCAAGCCCTATTCCATTTTTCACGCATGAGGTGAGAGGCTGGAGAGTTCAAAGTTGTGAGACAAGTGCTTTCCACGGTCTCGGGAAAACACGCACTTAGCGGTGATCTGTTGCGGTGCTAGGAAGAACGCCGCATGGGCCTTCAGACGTTGCCAAGCTTCCTTCGATAAAAACTGAATGGAGAATTTGCATGCAATTTTTTATTGCTCCATCTGAAAGTGCTGAAAGAGCTGATTTCACGGTATTTTTTATAATTTTTTTCTGATATGGGAAATGGTATAAAAAAAGATTTGAAAGTGAGAAAATGCACCGCCTAGTGACGTCGTCTGGCAGCATTTCCCATTTAAAAACACACATGTATTTTAGCAGATCAGATCATGTGTCATATGGACTGCATTTTGCAATTTGGACCTATAAATTCCGGCCCGGTTTAAAAACAACGTATGTGCCATTAGTTTCCCTATGCACATAAGTGTTTTTTCAGATGAGCCAGAATTTATAGGTCCAAATTGCAAAATGCAGTCCATATCTTCTCCAACAATTGTTCAATTCATGAACCAAGGGTATCCTCGAGTTCAGCTCACTCAGTAGTTTCCACTTAAACATGAAATTCATCAAATTTCAGACCCCTGCAAATTCTCAACTTATTGGGAAAGTAGTGAATATTTTTTTGCAAAATTTTCAGACAATTTTATACGCAATTTAATCTCAAATATCTGAAAATCTCAGGGACAAAAATGCATGGATATCGTCAAAAGTACATGTTTTAACGAGTGAAATTTGGCAACTCTCGAATGTCCATACGGCGTTCTTCCTCAGCACGGCAGTCCAGTGCATCGGTTGCAACGGATGACGCTCGTTTATGCATTTTTCATCGCGAACTTCCATCGTAATCTCGCGTTGTTACATTGGATGACGTCACGTTTCATTTCGTATTCATCGTTTATGACACGTGAAAAGCGTATTCGCTTACAACGATCACTCTACGTCACGGGAACTTTTCTATTCGACGATGCCATCGGGGTTCCTCGAATCACTACGACGTGGTCGGTACACAGGGTGATTCAAAAGTGCCGCACCATCCCTACACTGCCGTGCTGAGTAAAAACGCCGTATGAGCCTTTAGACGTTGCCAAGTTTCCTCCGATAAAAACCGAAATTACTGGGAAAATTGCGTATATTATTTTCCGAAATTTTCAGACAGTTTTGTACGCAATTTAATCTAAAATATCTGAAAATTTCCGGGAAGAATATGCATAAATGTCATCAAAAATACATGTTTTATCACGGGAAATTTGGCAACTCTCGAATGTTCATACGGCGTTCTTCCTTAGCACGGCAGTATAGCCCCTGAGGTTCTTGCTTCTTTTCAGGGTGGTGCCTTTAAAATTATAGAGGTCTCCAAAAGTTGTTTCCTTCGACCTGGGAGCGTTCACAAAATTTCTCTCTATCTCATTTTTTTCAAAATTTACAGAAGTGATGCCCGGTGCTGGTGGTGGGCTGTTGGATCACCCTGTATGCGGATAATGACAAAAGTTTAGGGTGCTAGGATGAGCATTCTCTAGAACAAACGTCTTGTCACATAAATTTCACATGCTATTCCTCTACAATTTGTCGATTAGCCACGACACAACGGGAGAACTTCATGGTGTATTCTCCGTCTCGCGATATCGGACCGCGAGTTACAAATGCGAATTCGATCTCGCGTGCCCTTGGTTTTTTTCTATGACAGCTTAAAAGCTTTTTGAGTCATACTCGGGAGTCCTCCGTGTTTTCCATTTCTCAGTCTCATTTTTGACCGCCATAACTGTTCATTTCATCCTCTGACATGACCCTTGCAATATGTGACGGTGGCTGAGAACTCTGATCGCTGATGGAAAAATAAATACTGAGGTAAAGTTACCTCTCAACCTGTATCCGAGTTAATCTAGATTATTTCTTGTTGAAAGAGAATTCTATCTTTAAAGTCGAAACGTGTCTAAAATAAACAGAAAAGTTGGGCAGTGAAACGCGTAACAGAATTGAAACCATCTACAATAGATGCAATGCACAATTTATGAATTTTTCATCATAATGGAGATGTTGTATGTGTGAGGAATTTGCGATTTGACTGTTGATTCTTATGTAAAAGTTCGCGAGAAACACGATGGTGCTACTGGTTTTTTCTGAAATCAACTCCCAAGCTCAAAAAAAGCTCTCAAGTTGAGGCCAAAATGGAGGGGATATCCCACCCTACCCTGAGAGTCCACGTCTACATCAAGACAAACTCTCCATGCAAAGATAGGGAGCAAATACATTGAAAGGGCTGCCACTTTATTTGAGGACTCCAAAACTGGAAACACGGCAACCCTGCTAATGTATTTGCTCCATATCTTTATTAACTTATAACTTTATTAACTTTATTTTCTTTTTTTTTGTCTTTTTTCTTGCCTCTCTCAATTGTGATTATCTCTGAAAGGATTTCGTCATTTTCATGCATTGAAGAAAAAAAAAACTACGTGCAGGCCTAAAATACGGGAACCAATCAGAAATTTATTCATCTTGTCTTTACTCTCAGTATAAAGGGACTCTAATTCAAACTTGAGGCGACCGACTTGACCTGTTTCTGTTAAACTCTATCCACTTATAGGAAATAAAATTAAGGGAATAGAGCTCTATTAAGAGTTGAAAAACGCAAAGCTCTTTGCAGAAGAGTCGCAGGAGATAGTCGTCTCATGAGCTCGGAACCCTCCGTTATTAGATTAGGGCCGAGTTGCACTCAATGATTGCGGCAAAACTGCACTCGAGCGAGGAAAACAATTTGAGAGCCGAATCGATCAGAGGTGCTTGAATCTAGTGCAAGAGCAAATTAGATTCTAATCAACCAGTGGCGTGGCGTGAATTACGATTTATCGATTGTTATGCCATTTAAACTTATGGAAAAGGATCGATAAATAGGGTGTTCGCAGCGAACACCTTAATAATCGATTTTTTACCATAGGTTTAAACGGCATAACAATCGATAGATCGCAATTCACGCCACGCCACTGTAATCAACAGCGGGATGTTTTGAGTACCTATCTCACCTTACCATCCGTTCGGTTGCCGAGTAGTTACACTTACTCACGTTCTGTGTAGTTAGCTCAACATTTAGCCCGATATTTCAATAAAGTTTAAATTAGGTTTGAAAGAGTGAGAAGGTGATAGCTTGTAGGGATTGATGGCATTGCGATGTTGCAAGGTCATGCCTTACAATTTACACATGTTCTCAAGAAAAATTTTCTCTAGCAAATTCGTATTTCTTACATTT